GAGGTGCTTGTTCTACATAAGGTGACATTTACAGAGTCCAGGAATTAGGACATGAATACTTTTGGTGATGGGGGGTGGCAGGCATTCTCAGCCTACCATACATACCTACTGTTTTAAAGCTCAGTATGCTCCAGATACAATGCTAAACACATATATGCATTTTCACTTATGTGCATTTCACTTACATATGTTACCATGTCTCATTTATACATATAGAAATGGAGTCTCAGAGAGCTTGAGTGACTTGACTCAGGTCACACAGCTATTTAGTGGTGAAGCCAGGGTGAACCCAGGCAATCTGACCTCCGAGTTTGAATATCTAACTGCTCTACTGTGTTGCTTTCCCATTATATGCTTAAGCTAACTAATTAGCAAAGGGCATATCTATTTTTCTGGATATAATATATTTGGTGAGTTCTTACTAATGGTGTGACTTTTGGTATCTTCATAGTTTCCAAATTGAAAGGTCTTTTTAAGGAGAGGCACTTGAACTGGGAGGACCTTATCTAACATTTAGAATAAAAATTACTGTTGCCTAGAGAAGATAGACCAAGTAAATAACATTTCTCACATAATGGATCCTAGACAAGCACATCACATTTACATAAACCCAATCTCTGTTGTTGAGGGTCTAAAGAACTAGAATAGGCAAGCTGTGCTCTTTTGTGCAAAGCTCTTCAGGGGAACTGATTGCTTTGAGCACTTAGAGGCACTTCTCTATAATTAGTTTTGGATGGATTTATTTGGCTTTCCTGGGAAAAGTAGATCTAGAGGTGAAATCTGAATGAGGTTAGAGAAGAGGTGATTCTTGTGTTGATCAAAGTTCAAAATGAGAAGATATGTAATGGATTCCAGATTAGGATCTGTTCAGCATTTGCTATGCTATTCCTTTAACAGCTTGCTGATTTTCCACATATGACCCGGTAGTCTAAAAATTCAGATCACACAGAAACTTCAGTCTTGTTTAGATTTAGGCTTTAGGCTCATGAATCTCTTTTTCCATATGTTTCTTCTTGGGGGCAGATTCTAAATTTAGGAAAGTAATGGTGTCGGAGGCCTAAGAGTGATTTCTTGAGCTTTTGTTTTTATTGATGTCGCATTATGACGGCATGACCATCCCTTCCTCAATGTGACATGCCTGCACAGGTGTGCAGGTGGCTAAAGGATTCAGGAGATGGGACTTGGATGGCAGATGGTCATGCCTTGTCCTGATTCCAACCACACTTTGAACATTCTGTCCCTCCTCTGACATGCCTCACTTCAGATGGCAACCTCATTTGGAGGTAAATTGTTTTTCACTGTGCTTTTCGTGTTGGAGTTGACCTTGTGCCTGGCACTGTGTGAAATGAATTGGCCTACTTTCTGCCCCACGGATATCAGAGGCTTATTGGTATTTAGTGAATGCTTTGTCATTTTGATCCTAGAAAATAGAGCCTGAAGAGATCTTCTAATTTTACTAAGATCATCCCATCTACCTTATTGCAGTATCTCCCTAAAGACAGATGCTTTATGAATGAAGGAGTTCTAGAGTCAACTAAGTTGGTATGCTTCACAGAAAGAAGTGTTTTGAGGCCAAATGACTTTAGAAAATGTTGATTTCCCCCTTCCTTCTATCATCCCTGTAGCTGAAATATTGACAACCACACCTTATCTCTTTAGCTCCCCTCTGAGTACCATGGTAGGTATTTCTGGCATTTTTATAGTTTCTCACTATTATCTAGGTTCTTTTCTTCTTTGCCTGAGGAATTTCTTCAGCAATCTGGGAGAGTCTGTTCTCCTGCTGGTAAAACCTGAAAGTGTGGGTGAGTTTAGCCAGGCGTGGTGGCTCACGCCTGTAATCCCAGCACTTTGGGAGGCCGAGGCGGGCGGATCACGAGGTCAGGAGATCGAGACCATCCTGGGTAACACTGTGAAACCCTGTCTCTACTAAAAATACAAAAAATTAGCCGGGCGTGGTGGCAGGCACTTGTAGTCCTAGCTACCCGGGAGGCTGAGGCAGGAGAATGGCGTGAACCCGGGAGGCAGAGCTTGCCGTGAGCCAAGATTGTAGCACTGCACTCCAGCCTGGGCGACAGAGCAAGACTCCATCTGGAAAAAAAAAAAAGAAAGTATGGGTGAGTTTACACCCTCAGAGCAACCCTCAATCATGGAAAAACTGGACTTGATAGATAAATGCCTAGGCCTCCCCACCCTCTGTGAAACAACTCCAAAGCCATGTCATAGTTTCTTAGACAGTTTCCAGCAGAACTGAGCTCTACTTACTCATGGCACTAACTTGTTCATTAACACAATCTTACTGTTTCCTCATTTCCCTATCAATCTTCCCTGTCTCATTTGTGTCTCTTATTTTTGCCTTTGACATTAACTACTTGCACCCAAGTCTTTGTCTAAGAGTGTGTTTTAGGGGACCTTCTCCAATTCTTTGGATAATCCTAATTTATGGTAGCTTTGAGAAGTACAGAAATGTCTCTTATCCTGTTTCCTAAACATCCTCCCACAGACCTTTTTTAACTTTAACATTCTGTGCGTCTGAGGTTTTTCACACTGTAGTTCCTGAATTGCTGTGGTTCCTGGAGATATTTCAGGTAGAAGTATTCTAAAGAGCTTCCCATAAAAGAGAGCCTACAGCCCATTTTTGTGTTTGAGTATCCTTTGCAAAAACCTCAAGGCCACAGGTCCACAAGGGACCTTATAGTGTATTTATCTCATTTTATTAATGGAGAAATAAAGACCTGGAGTGTTGAACTCTCGTTTGGCTCAATCATCTGAGATTACATAGGAAGTGTACACACAAATTCTTTAGCCCAAGGGTCAGTAAACTATGGTTCATGGGCAAAACTCAGCCTGCTGTCTTTGTATATAGCCCATAAGCTAAGAATAGTTATGGCATTTTTTAATGATTGAAAAGAAATTTTAAAATAATATTTTATGACATATGAAAATTAATATGAAACTTAAATTTTAGCATTGCTGAATAAAGTTTTAGTGGGACATGGCCCCACCCATTTTTTTAATCCATTGTCTACAGCTGCTTTAGTGCTAAAATGGCAGATTTGAGTTGTGACAGACACTGTATGACTTGCAAATATTTACTAGGTGATTTGCTACAAAAACATAAATATAAATATTAGTATTAATAGAAAATATTTACTAGGTGATTTTTTACCAAAAAACATTTGCGAATCCCCACTTTAGATTTCCAATACATGATGAATGGAATTGCATTATCTGCATAAGTCAATATAGTGTAGCCAAGAGATCATAGAATTGGGAATAGTGCATAGGGATTTTGTTTTATGCAGCGCTGCTAGCAAGCTTCATTGGATTTTGGACAAATGAGGTCACATCTTTAAATATCAACTTCCTTATTTGTAAAATGAAGTGACTGGACTGAATGCTTCTCAGTGTTCACTCATGTTCTATGTTTTCTTCGAATCTGTATTTGTCTATTTGGCATTCATTAATCACAGGGCCAAACCAGTGGGTAAAGTTGTTTACATATCCCCTGTGAACAAAATCCTATTACAAATTCTCCAACCAATCCTGAGTCCATAAGCTCAGCCACCTCATTTCTCTAACTCCCACACACCATTTCAATACTTCCCCTGCTCTAAATCATACCAGGCAACTAGACACCACTCCTATGCTATATCAGAGCCCACAGACATTATTCCAAGTAGCCAATACTAAGCTGTTTCTCCTCTCACGAAGAAAATACCATAAAGGCTCTAGGCCACGCTCCTTCCTGCTTCTGCCTACTGATCTACTCTGCTGCTTCCCCATGTGGCCTCGCATGGTGTCCTGGGCCTCTTGTTTCTAGGGGAACTGTGAGTAACAACAAATTGTTCTTTCAATGGCCTTGACCTCTTCATATCATCACTCATTCCCCTGCAATAAATTAAGACTGGACACAAATCACTTAAGTGCAAATAATTTATCATTCTGTGCAGTTATCTCAGATTTAACATCTATAATACTGGAATGGGGTTTGTTCCTAATGTTCAGCCTAAGCCAAACCTCCGTTATTGCCGTTCAGTTCCTTTGGTCTTCGTCCATGAACTGTGAGAAAGAAAGTACTTAAGGCTGCATCCCTGCTGCACAGGGAGACTTTGCCTATTTCTAAAGTTCATATGACCTGTAAAGAAGACTCCTGGTTTGCCCTCTTATAAATCAAAAACTGAGATTCAGGAAAACTTTTTCATTGCACAGTTTTTCAATTGTCTTTTTTCTTCACACTGCTCTAAATCACCGAACTACTTGTACTTTCTACTTAGTCCAATATGCACTGTACTGTATTAACTTTTCTCCAAGTTGTTTCCTTTTGAAATTTTTTTATTTTTTAATTAATTAGTTAATTAATTAATTAATTTTTAGAGACAGGGTCTTACTCCGTCACCCAGGCTAGAGTGCAGTGGTGTGATCATAGCTCACTACAGCCTCAAACTCCTGGGCTCGAGGGATCCTCCCCTGACTCCTGTCTCAGCCTCCTAAATAACTTGGACTACAGGTGTGCACCACCATGCCTAGCTTTTTTTTTTTTTTTTTTTTTTTTTTGGTAGAAATGGGGTCTTGCTATGGTACTCAGGCTATTCTCAAACACCTGGGCTCAGTTTTTCAAAGAACTGGGATTATAGGAATAAGCCATTGCGCCCAGTCTGGTGTTTCCTTTTTTTTTTTTTTTTCCCCCTGTCAAGTACAACTATACTTTTTTCCCAAAAGTTTTCTGTCTTTCGGCACCTCCCCACACAATTGGCACTGTCATTTCCCTTTTAAGGATCCCCTCTCTAGGTGCCCTTAGGAATCAAGGTTGATTAGGACCTACGGGGGCATACTGGTGGCACAAATGAGTGAAACAGACTGGGCATAATGCAGTAGGGGTGATGGAAGCCATTGTAAAGAAACAGACCTATACTCTGTTAATAGCTGTTATTTCTGTTTGAGCAATTATTGTCACATGAGAATTCTGTCCAATGTTGACAAATCTTTTAACTTTTCAACAGAAGGGAGAGCAAGATGGCCAAATAGAAGCCTCCAGCAATTATACCCCCTACAGGAACAACAAATTAAGCAACACAAACAAGAAAATCACCTTCATAAAATTGAGAAATCAGGTGAGCAATCACAATACCTGGCTTTAACTTCATATCACTGGAAGAGGTCCTGAAGAGTGTAGGAAAGACAGCTTTGAATTGCCTACCTCACTTCTTCCTTAACCCATGTGGCTCAGAGAGAATCTGTGCACTTTGGAGAGGGTGAATGCAGTAACCGTGGAATTTTGCATATGACCTCAGGGCTGCCCTATCACAGTGGAAAGCAACAGAGGGCAGAAACTCAGATGGCACCCGCAGAGGGAGCATTTAGTCCAGCCCTAGCCAGAGGAGAATCACTTATCCCGGCTGTTGGAACCTGACTTCCAGCAAGCCTCACCACCACCACTGTTGGCTGAAGTGCTGTGGGGTTCAAAATAAACTTGAAAGGCAGTCTAAGCCACAAGCACTGCAATTCCTGGGCAAATCTCAGTGCTGTGCTTGGCTCAGAGCCAGTGGACTTGTGACACACATGACCCAGTGAGCCACCAGCTGGGATGGCCAGGGGAGTGTCACCTCTCCCCCAACCCCAGGCAGCACAGAGAGAAACTTCTTTCTTCTGCTTGAGGAGAGGAGAGGGAAGAGTAAAGAGGACTTTGTCTTGGAACTTGGATATCCACTCAGCAACAGTAGAGTGGGGCACAAGGCAGAGTCCTGAGGCCTCTTTTCTAGGCCCTAGCTCCCAGATGACTTTTCTAGACACACTCTGGGCTAAAAGGAAACCTGCTGTCTTGAAGGGAAGGACTCAGTCCTGGAAGAATTTTTCACCTACTGATTAAGGAGTCCTTGGGTCCTGAATAATCAGCAGTAGCAACCAAGCAGTATTCACTTTGGGCCTTGGGTGAGTCTCAGAGCCATGCTGGCTTCATGTGTGACCCAGCACATTCCCAGCTGTGGGTCTAACAAGAGACTTCTTTTGCTTAAGGAAAGAAGAGGTAAGAAGAGTAAGGGGACTCTTTTGAAGCTTGGGTACCACCAGCTCTACCCAGTGATGTAGAGTACCAAGTGGGCTCCTGGGGTTCCTGATTCCAGGCTTTGGCTCCTGGACAGCATTTCTCGATCCTTCCTGGGCCATAGAGGAGCCTACTTCCATGAAAAGAGAATCCCAGGCCTGGTAGCATGCACACAAGCTGACTGAAGAGCCCTTGGGCCTTGAGTGAACATGGCGGTAGCCAGGTAGTGCTTACTGTGGGCCTGGGACAGTGGTGGCCATGGGGAGAGACTCATCTGCTTGAGAAAAGGGGAGGGAAGAGTGAGAAGGACTTTGTCTTAAGGCTTGGGTGCCAGCCCAGCAGTAGTAGAACAAAGCAGCGAGTAGATCCCTAAGGTTCTTGACTCCAGGTCCTGGCTCCTGGATGACATCTCTGGACTCACACCCACTATGGGCCAAGAAGAACTCACCACACTAAAAGGAAGGATGTGAGCTCAGCTGTATTTGCCACATGCTGGTTATAGAGGCCTTGATGAACATAGGTGATAGCCAAGCAGTGGTAACTGCGGGCCTTGAGTGAGACCCCAGTGCTGGCTTTGGGTCTGACCCAGCACAATCCCAGTTGTGGTGGCCACAGGAGTGCTTCAGTCACTCCTCCCCTAGCTTCAAGTGGAGACAGAGAGATGGAGAGAGAGACAGACAGACAGAGAGAGAGAGAGAGAGAGAGAGAGAGAGAGACTCTGTTTGTCTGGGAGAAAGTCAGGGAAGAGAACAAGGGTCTCTGCTGGATAATCCAGATAATTCTCTCAGGTCTTACTCAAGACATCAAGGAAGTACTTCTACAAGCCTGCAAGAGCCATGGCATCATTGGGCTTAGGGTGCCCCCTAATGCACATACAACTGCAGTGACCAAAGACATAGATCACAGTGCCCAAATCTCTTTGAAAAGGGACTCAGAAAGCCTTCCCAAGAAGGATGGGCACAGACAAGCTCAGACTGAGAAGACTATAATAAATACCTAACTCTTTAACACCCAGAAACTCACAAACATCTACAAGCATCAAGACTACCCAGAAAATGGCTTCACCAAATGAATGAAATAAGCACCTGTGACCAGTACCAAAGAGACAGAGATACGTGAACTTTCAGACAGAAAACACAAAATAACTGTTTTGAGGAAGCTCAACAAAATTTGAGATAACACAGAAATAATTCAGAATCCTATCAGATGAAATTAATGAAGAGATTGAAATAATTAAAAAAAAATCAAGCAGAAATTCTGGAGCTGAAAAATACAATTGCCATACTAAAGAACACATCAGAGCCTCTTAACAGTAGACTTGATCAAGCAGAAGAATTAGTGAGCTTGAAGACAGTCTATTTGAAAATACACAGCCATAGGAGAAAAAAGAGAAAAAGAATAAAAAAGAATGAAGCATAAATGTAAGATCTAGAAAATAGCCTCGAAAGGGCAAACTAAAGTTATTGACCTTAAAAAGGAGGGAGAGAGAGAGCAAGAGAGAGAGAGAGTGAGTGAGAGAGAGAGAGAGAGAGAGAGAGAGAGATCAGGGTGGAAAGTATATTTAAAGAGAAAATAACAGAGAACTTCACAAACCTAGGGAAAGATATCAATATTTAAGTACAAGAAGGTGATAGAACACCAAGCAGATATAATCCAAATGAGACTACCTCAAGACATTTAATAATCAAGCTCTCAAAGGTCAATGATAAAGAAAGCAGCAAGAGAAAAGAAATAAAAACATGCAGAAGGAAAAAAAAAAACACCTTTTATCCTAAATTAGCGTATCCTGTGAAAATATCCTTCAAACATGAAGGAGAAATAGACTTTCCCAGACAAACAAAAGTTGAGGGGTTTCATCAATACTAGACTTGTCCTACAAGAAATTCTAAAGCCAGTTCTTTGGTCTGAAAGAAAAGGACATTAGTGAGCATTAGGAAATCATCTGAAGGTATAAAACTCACTAGTAATAGTGGGTACACAGAAAGACACAGAAAATTGTAACACTATAATTGTGGTGTGTAAACTACTCATATCTTGAGTACAAATACTAAAAGATGAACCTATCAATAATAGTAACTACAACAATTTTTCAAAACATAGACAATATAATAAGATATAAATAGGAACAACAAAAAGTTAAAAAGTGGGGGATGAATTTAAAGTGTAGAGTTTGTGTGAGTTTTCTCTTTGCTTGCTTGTTAGTTTGTTTAAGCAATCAGTGTTAAGTTGCACTTAGTCTAAAGTAAGGAGTTATAAGATATTATTTGTAAGCTTCATGGTAACCTCAAATCAAAAAACATGCAACAGATATACACAAAATAAAAAGCAAGAAATTGAAACATACCACCAGAGAAAACTGCCTTCATGAAAAGGAAGACAGGAAAGAAGGAAGAGAAGACCACAAAACAATCAGGATACAAATTTTAAAATGACAGGAGTAAGTCTTTACTTATAATTAATATCTTTGTATGTAATAATAACATTGAATGTAAATGGACTAAAGTCTCCAACCAAAAGACATAGAGTGGCTAATTCATTAAAAAAAAATCCAATGATCTATTGCCTATAAAAAATGCTCATCACCTAGAAAGTGATGTAGACTGAACATAAAGGGATGAACAATTATATTGCATGCAAATGGAAATGAAATGAGCAGGAGTAGCCATACTTATATCATACAAAATAGATTTCAAGACAAAAACTATGAGAAGAGACAAAGAAGGTCACTATATATTGATGAAGGGGTCAATGCAGCAAGAGGATATATAAGAAGTTTAAATGTATTTAAATTTAATACACTGGGGCACCCAGATATATATATAACAAATATTATTAGAGCTAAAGAGAGAGATAGACCCCAATACAATAATAGCCAGAGACTTCAACATCCAACTTTCAACATTGGACATCTCTCCTAGACAGAAAATCAACAAAGAAATATCTGACTTAATTTGCACTGTAGACCAAGTGCACCTAATAGATATTTACAGAACATTTCATCCAATGGCTACAGAATACACATTCTTTTACTCAGCATATGAATTATTTTCAAGGATAGGCCATATGTTAGGCCACAGAATGTCTTAAAAATTAAGTATCTTATCTAACTACAATGGAATAAAACTAGAAAACAATAACAAGAGGAATGTTGGAAACTTTACAAACACTGGTAAACAATATGCTCCTGAATGACCAGTGAGTCAATGAAGAAATTAAGAAGGAAACTGAAAGATTTCTTGAAACATATGATAATGGAAACACAACATAAAACTTTTGGGATACAGCAAAAGCAGTACTAAGAGGAAAGGATATGACAATAGGCACCTTCATCAGAAAAGTAGAAAAACTTCAAATAAATAACACAATTATACATCTGAAAGAACTGGAAAAACAAGAGCAAATCAAATTCAAAATTAGTATAAGAAAAGAAGTAATAAAAATCTTAACAGAAACTAATGAAATTTAAATAAAAATACACATAAGATCAATGAAATGAAAAGTTTGTTTTTTGAAAAGATAAACAAAACCAAGAAACTTATAGCCAGACTAAGAAAAAAAGAGAGAAGACCCTAATAAAAAAAATAATTCTGAGATGAAAAAGGAGAAATTACAACCAATACCACAAAAATTCAAAGGATAATTACAGGCTACCATGAGCAACTTTATGCCAATAAATTGGAAAACCTAGAAGAAATGGGTAAATTCTTAGACAAATACAACCTACCCAGATTGAATCATGAAGAAATTCAAAACCTGAACAGACCAATAACAAGTAACAAGATCAAAACCATAATCAGAAATCTTCCAGCAAAGAAAAGTCTTGGACCTGATGCCATAATTGCTGAATTCTACCAAGCATTTAAAACCAATTCTACTCAAACTATTCTGAAAAATTGAGGAGGTGGGAATACTTCCAAACTCATTCTACAAGGCCAGTATTACCCTGATACCAAAATCAAAGACACATCAAAAAAAGAAAACTACAGGCCAATATCACTGATAAACAGTGATGTGAAAATCCTCAGCAAAATAGTAGCCAACCAAATTCAACAACACATTAGACAAATCATT